GAATGGGGTCAATTCCTGCATTAATGAGCACTGTCCATAGCCATCTGGCTATAGTGCATGTAGACACACAGAAAAAAATCTTGTATGAAATCAACAATCTACGGGCAACACTCTGCGATAACACCTGATTCATGAACAATGAATCATCACTATAAAAAGTGCAATGGATGCCTTGTTGTCTGAACCAAGCAAACTGCTTTAATTACTGCTGTAAATACTCGGGGTGCTGCTTATTTTCTAGCTAATGCCAAATGGTAACACCTGATGTTCATGCAGAATGTCCGTCCAATAAAATCTGGGGTATTTTCTGATGTCTGCATGAATCGGAATGCTAAATATGCATCACATAAGTCCAGAGACGTGAAATAATCATTCTCTTGGATAATGTCTAGTAGCTTTGTGAAAACAGCTCCATATCAAAATGCTCATCTCTGTTTTCCTTTTAAGGCAGTCAAGCCGGTTTCAATTTTGCTGCATTCTTTCTTGCAAAGCTCCCATCTTGAAGCTGCTGTAGGCTCCTCTCTGGGACCCTCGTCGGGAGTACGGTCCCCGCCAAATCTGGCACCGGCCTCTCACGCTTCCTCTAGCAGTCTGGAAAGCATTATACTTGCTGTTGTTGTACCTCCCAGTAACACCTAGGTGAGGATAACCAATAGACACCTTAGCCAGTTCATCTCTTTGATCCGCTTAACCAAGTCATCATCAAACAATTTTGCTGAAATTAGCATGTCAATGGGACACAAAGAGGTGTACATTCCTTGTAATCTTGGCCGGATTAAATAACGTTGTCTCACCGACAATGAGTGCATAGTATGCCTTAACAGGTTAATAGCATCAGACAACAACATCTTGCGGTGAACTCTCTGCGCCACCGGCAGATAAGCAATGAAGGAGGCTAAACGCAGTACAAGACTACTTGGTTAGGCTTGGACAGTTTTGCAGTGTAATCTTTCCTGTTTTAGTACCCAGTCCTCTGACTGACCTGTCAGAGTTACAGCTGTTTAACATCTGTATAACTGACCTTTAAATCCTTTTATTGCACCAGGAATAACTTTACTGCCATCAAATGTCAAATTTGCCCACCTGTTTCAGACATTTGATATGTTTACTGTGCTTCATTGTGGATCAAGTCCAGGTTTAGAGGATTTGGAAATGATTGTTTTTGTTTGGTTTTGTTCACATTTACAGAACAACTCTGCTGTGATTTCTGAAAACCCAAATCAGACTGCTGGACCCTTTTATGCAGCTGCGTCCAAATTTTCTCATTAAATTTGGGTGCCAAAAGCTTAAAATAGCAATTATTGGGATGAGGGTATTTATCATTAAGACTCTTCACAGAGTCCTCACTTATTCTTTTTATACGTCCCAAATCCACAATAGAGGCTAAATTATTAGCTATAGCAGGTCCAGCTTTCACCTCTGAGTCAGCCTGTGGAATACTCCACACCTCCTCTGGATCCCCATCCAGATTCTCAGCAAACACTGAGGGATCAAAATAAGATGGAGCCTGAGAGCCATCCTACTCGCCTGCACTTGCAGTGTCTAGCGCCTCCCAGCTATCATTATGGGCTGGATCAATTGAATCAGACAACTCCTCTGTATTAGGTCCTCTCACAGAACTATTAGTCTGAGAATTTCGCGCCAAAGTAGCAACCGCACTCGTCAGCGACGAGAGCTGCGACATCAGCTGATTAAGCTCCAAGCTGTGATTTCAACTCACTTATATTCAGATCAGCCTTGTATTGCACGTTAACAACATCACTCTGTGTCTTTGACTGTCGAGCCGAACCGGCTGCCGTTGCCGGAAGTAGCTCGGAGCTAACATGGCTCCCCTCTTTTACCAAGGTTTAGCTTAGCTTTCGTTGCCTGCGCCACTCAGGTTTGCGGAACACTGGAAGCCTGACGCTTCGGTCGGTCAATCTGACCCAACACAAGAGTACACTCACTCTGAGTTCAAAAAGGCGAAAAGCCCCGAAAACTTACCTCCATTGTCCGAATCCGATCCAAACAGATCAAGCACGCCCGCTCAAATCGAGACAGGCTGGCTTCACACTCATCCTCACTCCTTCACTCTGGGACTGGCCGACACGCGATTACACGCCGCTTAGCAAGCTAGCGTATCCCGACCAGACAGCCCTGTGGCAAATCAGGGTACGGGATTGGACTTAAACCTGCGACAATGAGTCACGGTTTACTTCCTTTTCCATTTGCAGTCAGCTGCTTTTAAATCGCCACTAGACAACACTGTAAAAGAAAGAGACAGCATCTCAAATACATATCAAATCCACCACTGCGTGGTGTCAACAATACTTACCTCTCGCTCTCCTCTCTCAAACAAAAAGTGACGGAGGCAGGCTAGGGAGACTATTTATTGGGTCGCTAGGCATCATGGGTAATTGCCTCTTTGAAGAAGAGACCTCGCTCTCACACTATCTCAAATGATGCTATATTACATCTCTGAGACGAAAGGCAAACATAAATGAAAAATAATGCCATTTTCCTTATATTCCTTATTTTTATTTTCAGTGTTGTTTTTGTGTTTGTTATTTTTAAACCAGCTCTGTTTTCTACCCAGTGCGATACACTCACATCAGTTCCTGCCCCTCTATAAAGATGTTTGGAATATTCTATTTCCTGAAACACATGTCTGTATTTAGACTAAGATGCTGCAGATTTGTTCCAGTATATAACTGGAAAAAATAACCAACAGCAAAGAAATAATCTTCAAAACAAAAGCACTGTCCAATGGATCAAAAATAATCAATAAAGTCAATGAGAAGAGGTACGTAGTTCTGGGAGTCCAGGATGGATGAAGAGGGTTGATTTCCATCACAGATAAGCAATGGGACACATCTGGAACCACAGTAGGAGAACTTCTCTGGAAAATTGTTAGCCTATTTTTAACTCCAGTAAGCCGGCAGTGTTTACTTCCAGTGAATCTAAATCCCTTCAACAAGATGTGGGAACAAGAATTAACATATTTATTTGTATAATTATCTTTATCACATGTAAAGCAAGATAAAAAGAAAATGACTTGTTATATTCACATATCAGTTTTATCTATTTCAGCTTTCTAACAGGGCTAAAGTGTAAATTGAACAGTGCAATACAAAATAATGGATAATGGTGTTTGGAACTAAAAGCACTCAGCTGCACCAGTTTTASGGACAATAAAGGTTGAGGACTAGTTTTTAATTAACTGTTAGATTGAATCTCACATTCACATTYTTAGGAACTTTCTATCAWAATGCATCAACATAATATTCTTAGCACAWAAGTCAGTAAATTAGTTTTTAGTAGATTGTTTAATCCTTCTTGGTAAGACATCTTATACCATTGGAAAGCCTGTTCATTTTTAAATGGTGCCACATTTGTAAGGAACATGCATTTGTGGGATGAGCAGTAGACTATGTTGGTTGTTCACATGGAAAATTTGTCAAATCTTCTCTGTCTGCTTATTTTGTTGTTGTTGACACTTGTTTTGAGCTTCTGGTACCTCCAGGTGCAGACAATCAGCTGCCCGATATAAGATTTATTTTGTTATTTTCATGGTCTGTGTTTTTTATGTGTTGTCTGTTCTTGTAGTGTTTTCTTGATTATCTGTTTTTCTGATTTCAATGATTCCCTGTGTTTTCTGTTCAGTTACTTCCTTTCAGTATTCCTCCAGCTCCRCCCACTCAGTTGTTCCTCGAGTGTCACCTCCAGGTATTTCCCTGCTCCTTCGAACTCCTCTATTTTTGGTCGCCTGTCCTCAGTTCATTATGTTTTTTTCTCTCTTATCCATTGTTGTTTATTTCCCCCGTCTTTGCTTCTGTTCTGCCAGTCTATAAAGTAGTTTTTTTTCTGCCATATCAGTTGTTTTCTTTGTAAACAAAGTTGAAGTATTTTGGCGTCCAGAGTTATCTAGTCTGCACATGGGGTTCAACTTACTATGCCAAACATGATAGTTTAGTTTTATCAGAAAA